CACGGATAACAGACATATGTGCGTTAAAAAAAACATACAACCCCGTATGCTGTCAGTCACAGCAAGGGAGGTAGAGAGAGGCCGACAGACAGAAAGTGTCTAAATGAGCTGGTGGAGAGGAGCGGGAGGGGGATGTCAAGGATTCATGGTCCTTCATCTTTGCAGTAGAGCAAACACATCTCTCAGTATAGCAACAGACAGCTGCAACCACTTCCAAATGCACTCTAACTTAGATCAGTGAAAGAATTGTCAGCGCACACCGAATCATACGAAGATAACACAGCCAGCTGCCACGAGAGAGAGAGAGAGAGAGAGAGAGCGATCCCTGCGTGGAAATGAAATTTGTTGCGTTTGCACGCGTCCGTCTCCCTTGGGGTTCTTCCTCAGCGTTCGGATGAAAAGCGCGCGAGACTACGCTTAACATATTTGCTTAAAGATGACAAGCCGCTACTGATTTCATTTGAGCCGGGCTTTTGTCTGAAACGGAGACAGGGGGTACCGAATAAGATTTGTTACACAGACTGACAAATGTATCCGTCTGTACGGATGAGTGTTTCATCAATTTGAAACGGCCCCCGAGATCCCCCAAGGTGCTCATCCGCCAGCGAGCCGAGTTAGTCTGAAGGTTCCCTTTAATTGTCACCATTAGATTGAGATAAAACCTGTCATTCTCATTTATACAAACAATCCCAGGAGGCCCGGGCCACTTACACGTCTAACGCACCAACGGCATCGTCTTCTGCCAACGCTGGGCTTCTAAACCGCAAATCCCGGTATACCTACAGCATGACGCTTGCTGTACTGTGGCACATACGTGGACCATTGTACAGTATTTACATGAAGAAACATTGCAATGCGAAAACACACGACATGCACCATTTGTGTATATTAACCATTTTAGAATAGATTTGAATGTGGCTCGTCCAATTAGAATCAATTACTCAAAAAAAAAAAAAAAAAATGCTGGGTTGTTTCAACCCAACTTTGGGTCAAATACGGACAAACCCAGCCATTGGGTTAAATTTTCTAATTACATTTTTAACCCAACATTTGGGTTTGTCCGTGTCTGACCCAAAATTGGGTTGAAACAAGTGTTAACTCAAGCCGTTTTCTGAACTAATGCCCAATCTAGTTATTTCTCAGTTGACGTCCATAAACATCCAAATGAAGTTTCATTTGTAAAAATTCATTTCATTTAGAGATTTTCAGAAATCATTTCAGACTAATCATTTCAGATTAGTCAGATAACATGCATCACCGAATGGTTATTTATATAATCCATTTGTTTTAGAATTTCTCGCAAAAATAACTAGCCTATATTCTGTGATATTCTGGGATTTTTCAAATACTTGTACCATGATATACGCTTGTGGCCATTCGCCCACCACTAACCGACTTGCTAAAGATTCACCTACAGATTTAAAAAATATATCTCTTGTACTATTAATCTTCGGTTATTCCTAGTATCCTTATAGAAACATTCTGTGGTGAGCTTTGTTACTAAACAACTAATAAGGCTGGAATCTACTGTAAAAATAATAATAATAATAAAAAAAAAAAAAACACAAAACTACATAACCCCACATTGTTCCATGATGACGAGTAATAGCTCACAATCCCAGCCTGATGCATTTGCTTCAATAAGCTCTACATGCCAAACACAGATCAATAACGACTCTGTCATACACTGTAAAAAATTAATACATGCAACTTACTCGTATGTTGTTTTGTAAGTGTAACCAAGTTGAGCTTGATTTAGACTCATTGAATAATTTAAGGTAATTGACCTGAATAAATCCAGATTAAATGTTCTAGGCTTTCTGTCTAAACATTTTTACAGTGTGATGATAGTCTATTTAAAAACTACAGTGCCTTTCACACAAAAACCCTCCAAACGTTAATGGCTGCCCACTATGAATATGTAAAAGAGCGGTTTGCAAACCACCAGAACAGAAGGAAATTGAAATCTGCATATTGAAAAATATTATATTTACACCAGATATGACTTCAGATAATTCAGATTTGATCATGTGAGAATTCAATCATTTCCTTGATGAACAATGCTGCTGCCTCACTGTTGCCAATATTAATACATCAGACCAACAAGCAAGTCAACAAAAAACTTGTTTCAAATGAATGCAAGTTTGATGAATGTGAATTAATATATGCTATAAACACATTTATATAGGCCTTTGTTTTTTGACGCATATATTTTAAACGCAGTGTATACAATGCTGCAAAATATTTGCTTTCACTAGCACAAAAACTCACAAATAATATATATATAATGTAAAATAATTACAGAAAACTTGGAAAACTGCACAATATACAAATTTGTCGAATGGAAAAGCTTTCGATTTCTAAATATGCTAATACTGCATGTAACAGATTTGTGAAATAAATTTCCAAAAATAATGTGTTTCAGCCAATTAACTGCATGATACAGGCAGCTAAATACACATGTCAGTACATATTCAAACGTCATAAGAATACAAACTAATGAACATTACAGTCACTAGGTTACATGTTGAAAAAAAAACATTCAACATGCTTTTAGTTTTTTTCCACTGCATGACACTGTTTAAACTGCACAGACAAACAGTATACTTATTTTTATCATAGAAAAGCGGTCTAGTTCTAACTATGTTTATACTGCCTGACCCTGGAACAGATTTGTGCAAGAATTTGACAAAAAGAATGTTTTAAAGACAATTAACTGCATGATGCAGGCAGGCTAAACCAAATGACAGTACATTCAGACGTCATAAGAACACAAACTAATGAACACTGCAGCTAACACTATCACTATATGTTTGAAACTTGTCAAAATATTGCCCAAACGCAAGCGTCAATCTAATTGTTTGCACGCATCTGCTAATTGCCGCATCATCCGCGCGGGCTGAACGTCTTCTATAGGTCTGTGTATAGCGAGCTGCCTGTAGCCCTGTGCTAGAATGTCAACACCAGATACATCAAGCAAAGAGGGTGCTGAAAAGGGGAGGGGTCAGCATCTGTCATCACGCACACCACAAAACTCAACATGAGGTTTCATGTCAACCCTGCGGACTCACACGCACAGCTACACACACATACACACAGGCTCACGCAAACTGACGTGCCACGCAATCAAGAGTGTGTGAAGCTGTCGTGTCGTTTAACATGCTCATAAAGCCCAGCCTGGGGTTAAACCGGGACCCAGTTAACGATAACAGCGCTTTCACACGTCAGCCGCTCGCTGCGCCCACAAGGAATCACTCCGAGCACCAACCTAGCACATCACTTTGTCAAAATAGCATCATATTAAAAGCTTAAAGTATACTTATTAATAACATTTACACCTCAAACTCATATCTGCAAAGCTAAATTAGGTCACCGATGCCTGTTGTGTTAATATACCTCTGCTAACTGTAGTGCATTACACATCTAATGGCTTATTAGACCTCCCTACAGGAAAGAAAAAGAAAAAACACACGCTCAATGTCCACTTTGATTAAAACACATCACAAAAAACACTCTACAGTAATGAAATCACTCATCATGTAGTGCATTTTTCTATTGATAGAGCTGAAGAGGCTTGGAAAACACACTTCAGTCTTAGTCAGGCGATTTTGATTGTGTTTTTAAATAACAAAATGCAAATGCAAGAGGTATTCCGAAAATAACTAACATTATACATGAAAAATGGAGAGTTGTTGTTTTTGTTGGTTAGTTAGTTTGTTGAGAGTGAAAACCAAAGGTTTGAATATGAAAATGTAAAACAAATCGACATTCAATTGCCTTCAAAAAACACTACAAGTTTGCAATGACAGTGGCATAACCTTCAACAAATCAATTTCTGGCCTCAAGTTTCGAATCTGACAACATCCACAGAACTAAGAGTCAGAGCTAAAGAATTTGGAAAGAAATATCCACAAGTACAAAGAAGAAAGGACATGCATTGAAAAATAGCTAAATGTGCATAATGCAGGGTGCACATCAAAAATTCATGCAAATATGTGTTCAAGAACTACATAAAATGGAGTAATATACAACCTCACTGATGGATGAAGTCCCATATTAAGGCTGAAAAATGTATGCGGCCACATACAGTAATTCCTTCTGGTAACTTCTCTATGCCCGCTTAGTGCTTGATACTAAAAAAGTGAATATTTACAGGGGGAAATTTCTACCTAAATCACTAAACATTGTGTTTTGAGATTGATTTAGTATATCAAATAATATAATTGGCTTGAATAAAGCAAGTCTTTGTATATATTACTATATATATATATATATATAGTACATGTTAAGCTGTTTTGAAAAAGAGATTATAAATACCGTGAATGCATATCACTCCAGACTGACGTTTTATGCAAATTTACAATTAAGCAAATGCCAACTACAACTTCATAAACAGATAATTAACTCAAACTGAAAATGCCTAACTTATTTTAATCTAAATATAGTTGGGTTTAGAACAAATTCAAGCCTAGATAAAACAAAATAATCGGCAAATGTAAAACAAAAATAGTAATTTTGCTTGTAAAAAAAGGGCTCGGTAACGACATTAGAGTATATTTTCAAAGATAATAGTAAATATTAATGTTACATGTCTTCTGTAAAGATATGAAAGATAACACATATTTAAAGACCTCGTGTTTAATTTAAAAATAAGTCGCTATAGTCATCATTGTGACAGTATGTTTACATTGTGTCAACTTAGTTCTGACAGACTGAGGTAAACACATCGCACGCGACTCTTATAATTATATATGCAATATATGCAAATTTACACAACTTTTATACAAATACGCTTAAGTTAGATCAAGCTATATACATTAGGAATGCTTTATACGTGAGAAATCATAGATTCATGCATGCATTATTAACATACAATCTAACAGAATATAGCTGCTGTTTATAGTCTAGCACGCATTTCATGACTAAAACAAACCACACCATGCAAGTACAAGCACAAATGTAATAGTGTATGCCAAAATATAAACAATAAATCAACGTACCATGTACACTGGAGCTAGTGATCATCTTCTCAAAGGCGCAAACAGGAGAAAGGAAAATGTGAATTCCAAAGGTTGCTTACAGCCACTTTTTCCTCTCAGCTATCGAATTACACTGTGAAAACCAGGGGCCTTTTCGTCAGGTATTCATTTAACCTACATGCATATAATTAAGAAGGCAAAACCAACAAAAGCTCTTGGACAACATGTGAGAGGAGGAGAGAGAGGAGGAGAGAGAGAGGGAAGGGAGAAAAAAAAACACATGACCACGACAGCGAGCTCATGTCAGTTTTCCTCCCCAGGTTTAAAGAAACGATATTCTCTGCATGGAAATTGCATTGTATGTCTTTTTACTTTAAAAACACATCTGCGGTCCTAAAAAAAAAAGCCAAGAATTAAAAAATGCACATTATCTATGATACGCAAAAAAGGAAGGGTGCAAAAACTTTTTCAGATGATTATTGTGTGGGCTATAATGCGGCTCTAGTGCACCAGAAAGTTACTTTTACGAATTTCAACCCACTCTCACTTTCCAATGCAAAATGTAATTAATTATATTCAACTATCACTGATCAACTTCATCCGCCTGCGCGTTAACATCCCGTTGCACGCGCGATCACATCTCGTATCAAAACACAATCCATGTATTTAGATATGGACAGCGCGAGCGTTTCATTTCAGCCCGGTGATGCATAGACTGGACATGCGTTGCGATAAAGGCAGGCAGGCGCTCGCGCTCCTCTCCTCTAGTCCAGTTTAATTCCTAATTTCGGTGGAAATAGCCGGGTTAACTCTTACCTGTTAGTATGACAGGATAACCTCTCAGGTTAGAGCGGCATCGATCCGACGGGCACGCTGATGAATGCTTCTGCGGGTTAAGCGACTTGAAACCATTCCAAGTTAGTGTGGGGAAGACTGACCACTGCCTCTGCCATGTTGGAATTTCAAACCCCAAACAGCTGCTCTAGAGAAGCACAGCGTACCGCAGATTGCGCATGCGCGCTGCGCGAGAGCCAAATTCAAAGCAACGGTCAGATTTGCCTAAACACTCTGAGTGGAGTAGCGCTCGTTGTCCTGTCAGAGTACACTGACAGGAATTATTCATCAATGGGCTGTATATGGACTTTTTGGCTCTATACACGATGTATATTTAACACAAGAAGTAAAATAAGTGAGTATAACATTTAATATTATTGATATTGTAAAATCCACGTCGTAAAAGCAAAAAACGTTCACTAAATGAATCACTGCGCAGCAAACGTGGCGATCGTTATTTTTTATCTATTTTCAATGAACAGACAGAACAAAGTAAAATAACATTCAGAACTAACGTTACATTAATATAAAAACACAGTCAGAGGGGGTAGGCTGATTATTATATAAATAAATGTAAAGATTCGCATGTAACGTTAGCCATCGTTATTTCTATTATTCATGAACATTACATTTTAATTAAAAAGTTTTTAAAAAGTTTGTCATATTGTAAATGGATATAGCACAGCCTCTTGTCTCAATGTCTAAATATTAGTGCTGTAAAATCGATTTATCACATCTAACATAAAATGTATAACTATGTATAAATAGTAAATACTATACAGACACACACACACGTATAGAATATATATATATATATATATATATATATATATATATACATATTATATAAACAAAAACCTTTATGTTGGATGCAATTAATCACGATTAATCAGTTTGACATCACTACAAATATATGATCAAATTAAGAAATTAGTGATTTACTAGGCGTTTTACTATTCCTCATCCTTAAGGCTATACATTTTTCAATATCACAACTACACCCACAACAACCTAGCATTTTACACGAGCAAGCACCAGTCACATTTTCTTAAAAAAAAAAAAGTAAAAATGCACTTTATTGAATGATACCTTATGATGATTTCAATATGAATTTTCCATTAGTGTAGTAAAAGCAATTCTGCATGTTTTAAATTTGTGGACAAAACTGTAGATATCATACCTTTATGGTGTATATCTATCTGGGTTTTTTTGGGGGGGGAAATGAAGGGCAAATCTTGATGTGTCTTCTTGTATCTGAGTTTGACATCCTGTCGTATATCACACCATGACAAAACCACTCCACACCTCTTCTCTGTCGTCTCCCAGTGCTCTTTTGACAACCCAGAGGGACCTGGCTGAGGACCTGGAGTTTAGACACATGATGTGTACTGTGGAACCCACAGTCCCAGCATGGCCTCTCGCATTCGTGCGCCGGGGCCTTGGGTTGATGCATCGATCTGGCCCTGAGCGTTCCCCGATGAGTTTGCAGGCCATTTCCAGTACAGTCCCAAAGCCTTTGGAGAATTTCTGCCCGTCGGCAGTCAGCACCACTCCATTCAGCCTTTCCTAACAAACGACTGCTTGCCGCAATCTAAGGTAATAATTACTGTACTTCTTCAGACTCTGATCGGTGGAGACCGATTGTGTCCCTCTTTCTATTGTTGCATCTCAAATTTTGATTTGATTGAGTCCCACCACACCTTGCAGCCCTCATTATGTCTGAACAATATGTATGTGATGAGGGTAGAGGAAGCGTGCCGGTTGGGGGGGGGGGGGGGGGGGAGCATCCGATTAAATGCTGCAGACACAATTGGTAAACTGGACCAGACAAGAAAGAACAAAGAAAGCGAGAGAGATAAAATAGCTCTGTTTCAAAACCAAGTGAGCTTCTATTGCCTACATATAGTCAGCTGCTTTCTAACTAAGTTAGAACCTCAAAGTGACTGATTTGCAAGCATGTAAACTCATATTTATAATGTTGGTTGACTGATACGGCCCATTCTGTATGCGCTCACTTTGGGACAGTGCGGGCACGAAAAGGATGATGTCGTTGTATCACATAGCAAAATCAAGGTCCCGTCCTATCTTTTTTCCAATTTTTTTCACTCAGATATACGTCACAATTCGGAAGAAAAAATATGATCACAATTTCCGTTTCATGCCAACTTTAAATCACACACAAATATTGGGTACATATTTAATAAGATCATTTTTTTTTTTCTTTTCGGTGTTGAATAAAATACATGAATATAATAAAATTTCGTCCACAACTTAGATTTATTTGGTGCATGGATTGCATCCGCTGAAAAAGACTACATACAATGCTGCCTTAGAATTTGCCATCTTTATTTACTAAAATGCTACTACCTTTTGGAAAAGTGCTGCTCTAAATTGCTGCCTACTAAGTAGGCAGCTCACTAGGTATTGGAACAGAGCGTTCGAGTGAGAGAGAGAGAGAGAGAGAGACAGTAAGCTCTATCGGTACTGTAGATGCAATCAGGACGGTTATTAATCTCCAGGTTGTCAGTGTAAGAAACAGCTGAAGAAAAGCTGTCCATTAGTATTGGTGTTTCTCTACCTGCGCGCTGCACGGGCACGATGCAGGAGTAATGCAGGAGAGCCTTGCTGTCTGCTGCCTTCGACCATCACTCTAAGGACGAGAGGTCAGAGAGAAAACAACCGCTGTGTAGACTCCAGCCAGAGCGGCCGCCATTGTCTCCCAGCCGCATATGAGAAAGTTCTCTCTGCGCCTTTTGTCCTTGTGTCAGCAGGCAGGACATTCTAAATTATTTTGCTCAGCTGCCTCCCTGAACTCTTGCTACGGCACGTCAACACACACATCATCCAGACACACACACACATACGCACATCGGAGACGTGAGTGTGTGCCTGCACTGCCCTAACATCCACCACAAATCCTCAAAAACACTAATACACACACTCACATAACACACTAGCATAACATTAGCTACGGATGGAGCACGGCTCCGGTTTCTTGTTAGTGTATTGATTAGTCGTTTAATTGGTAATTACTGTTCAAGTGCACACCGTTCCCTTGTTGTGAGGAAATTTTGATAACATATTTAGTCATTTGAGCTTGTTGAATCAAAATTTTCTGATGAGATACAACAATGCATATTGACATAATTGGCTGTACATTGTTAAACCAATAAGCCACTTACAGTGATTTTACAATGGGATGTTTATCAAACCCCCATAAAGGCCTGTTTATACCGACAGCGTTTAAATACCCGGAGGTTGGCGAGTCTCTGGTTGCTCGTAGGCGTTCCTACTCGAATGCAGTATCCAGTTTTATCCCGTGGTGGATCGCTCTCTGCGCTCTCACTGGTAGCTGTCAAAAATTGAAAATGAATAACATCTGGTATGTTTCTGCAAATTGCTTGTCATCGTGAACAACCCTTAACTGTGGTAATAATCAATTGCTTTTATAAAATAGTGGCAACAGCAATACGATAAAAAAAAAAAAAAAAAACACCAAGAGTATAGCGGCACAATTTATTTGGTAAAAGATTGCGTTCTTGAATCAAAGACCCACGCGAATTTATTACTAAATTACGCTTCAGCCATGTCTATTAAAATTATGAAAAATACAAATTTGATGTACACTTCACATTCATATTTCATATATTCAGGTTTGGTAAATCCCTAAAAATAAACATTTTACTTCAGAATAGTCAGAGTAACATGATCTCTATTCTAAGCAAAAATAAATATGTGTTTCTTAATTTATCCATAAAGTTTCAATGTGCAATTTCTGTGCCACTAGCACTGCGCCACCTAATGGAATTGCAAAAAATATTGTTTTCAAACAGGTCTATCTATCTATGCAAATCTGTTGTTCCCATTCTCATTGTCTATGAAAAATGATTATGCTCTATTATCATATGCGTAAACCATTACTGTAGTGGTTAATACCTCACCCGGTGAAGTTTAGCACCAATGTGAGCTATACAAGTACTCATTAAAGAGGGTGATGAAATAGTCCTTAAATGCATGACATTACACCTTAAATGTGTTTTTCCTCACTTCAGCCGCTCATCCATGCTGTGGTTAACAACAGCCATTTATCTAAATGGATTTCAACTGATTAACCATTTAAGTAATAATGATCGGGGCAGTGTAGACTCTGCATTAGTTGCTAATTTGATAGGAATGTGTTTCTAAGGTTGTTTACTTAGACAGACACACACATGCACACACACACACACACACACACGCACACACAGTGAAATTGTCTGGTTCCTCAGGACTGGGGTTAGGGGTTTGTCCAGTCACGTGATGTGCTGTTTTTTAACCTTCTGCCTGCAGACTTTGCTGTCAGCTTCCATCATTTCAA